AGCTTCTTAATCTTTCTTTTTAAAGTATTTATTTGTGCATGCAGAACTGGGGTACAGGCCAGAGGTGCAGGGGTGGTGAGAGGATTCACCAGAGACAGAGTGGGGCACAGAACAGGCAGATGGACTAAGTACACTGCTGAGGGGGCAGCAGGCGGGTCAGGAGAGAACGTTCTGCTGTGCCATGTGGTCACCTGGGGGTGGGGTGGGGTTTGAACTCATGCTGAAGTGGCTTTAGCTTCTCAGTGCTGTGCTTTAACCCGCTGCGCCACCAGGGAGGGCTGAGGAAATATATTTGCTATGTAGCAGACAAGGATTCTGTCTCACACTATTCTGCTGGGGCAGTGTAGACTTTGGATCTGTCAATCATCCAACTTTGTGAATGGTAATTCTAATACAGACTTAGAAAAGTTGTTTTGGTAACAGCAGAGAAAAATAATAGTATGTGTGTTTTAAATAGCCAGATAATCTAAGCTGTGTTTTAGTAACAAACATGACTCAAGTGTTAGCAGCTGAAAACAACCAAAGTTTATCTCTCTTTTACCCTGCTATATTTCCACAGGGGTGGTATCTGTGTTATCTATGCTGGCTGGAGGGTTGGCAAGCTGGCAGCAAAGGCCAGCTCAATCCACTCCTTGCACAATTGCCAGCAAGGAAGAGCATACACACTGGTAAATTTTCCACTCTCTGTCAAATCTTCTGCTTGGAAAGGACAGTCTCACTTCTGTTTCATTGGTCAGAGAGTCAGTGTCACACCTAACTTTAAGCAGCTAAGAAAATTTATCTTTCCATAGGCCACAAGAGAACCATCGATCTAGATGGCAAATGACTTCTATATACCATGCTACTGTTCTTTCAAAGCCTATTTTTGCCTTCTCTTTGTTGAGTTTTAAAAATTTCTTTATAGGTTACCATAAATCCTTCTAGTCAACTGCTTTAATAAAAACCAAGCCAAATTGAAATTAGAATTAGATTTTATTGCTTAAAAAACACTACAGAAGGCATTACATTTGTCATTATAAATGCTACTGAGTAGCTTAGGAAAGTGAACTTCAATTTACACATTAGGTTGGTTTTGAAGAAGGGGTATACACATGTTTTTCAAAGGTAAGATTTTAATATGAAACCACCATTATGACCTCACTTTAGCCTTGATTACTTCCTAAAGGCTTTATCTCTACTTACAGTAACATTGGGAGGCAGGGCTTCGATATGAATTTTAGAAGATACAATTCAGCCCACTGCAAATAAAAACAAATGAATGGCTCTATTATCATTTCTGTTCTTCCTGG